GCACTGTTACAGGTGGAAGCGTCACAGGGGGCACCGTCACAGGGGGCAACGTCACTGGAGGCACTGTCACTGGTGGCAACGTCACTGGTGGCAACGTGGTCGGTGGAAGCGTAGTCGGGGGTAGTGTTGTTGGTGGAAGTGTAGTCGGGGGCAGTGTTGTTGGTGGAAGTGTAGTCGGGGGCAGTGTTGTTGGTGGAAGCGTGATCACTGGCTCCGTCGGAACTTCATCAGTAGCTGGCTCGATCGTGACTTCTCCTGGTCCTTCCTCAGGCGTGTCCGTGTCACAGGGTTTTTCTGTAGCAGCATAAGTAGGGTGTTGTTGCAAAGCGTACGATGATTCCGTATTTGGTTTTTCTGTTGTCAGATATGTGATCGACTCGGGCTCCTCGTAAGGCTCCGTTGCTTCAGTATTAAGAGATCCGTATGTCCAGTAGTCACCAGTCTGCTGGTTCTCACTGATACCTCTTACATAAAGCCTCGAAGGGTACATCGTGTTGTCTTGAAGGGGTTCTTTGGATACGTAGTAATGCTGACCGTCCTCCATTGACAATTTGGAAGGTTCGAGGTCTGTGCCAACCGTATATCTGTCAACAGGTGTACCTTCCTTCGTGTAAGTATTGTGGTGAGTATCAGTGATATATTCGCCACTTGATGTCTTACTCTCATTACTGGATCCCGTCAGGTCGTAGTGAGATCCGGTAGTAGGCATTCCTGGCTCTGTATCATTATTCTCTGTGGGTGCAGTCAGCGGTTCATAATTACTACTAAGGACCGTATGAACATCGGTAGTCTCCTGCGTAACTCCGTCAGTGGTGTATTCGGTACTTGAGTATCCGCCTGACTGCTCGCTTGAGTGTTCGCTTGTGGGTTTGCCATTGCTCGTTGAGGTATCCTCGCTTGTCTCGACTGAAGTGTCGGTGGAAGCGTCATCCGTTGGTGCAGCATGAGGATACCCGTTAGATTCATATATCGTGTCGTCAATTGAAGTTTCGGTAGCAAGGTTCATCCCAGTGAACTTTTGATTAGCTTGATACTTTGCATCTTCCATTGTGCTACCAATTTGCTGAGCTGTTGTCTCGGTGACAACATCACACTTTATATCAAGTGGAGTACCCCCGCTCGTGTCGTGGTAAGTCCCAGGTGATTTCGTTTTTAGATCATCCTGGACATGATTGCCACTTTTGTAGTTGGAAGTCCAGCCCGAGTTTGCAACATTAATTGTTCCACCGGCTTCGGGCTCGATTGTAGTAGTGTACTCGGTGTTTGGAAAGACACAGCCCCATACGTTCTCATAAATGAGAACACACTGGGCGTCAACTGGAGCAACGCAGATGGTACCGTTGTACGACGGCAGATGCGGTTGACAGTCGGCAGTGGCAACATCACCAGCCTTCGGACAGGCATTGCCTACCGGTTCCACTCCGCTACCAGTGCAGGGCAAACCGCAAGACTCTGGCAGCGAGTAAATGGCATCGTTCTGCACGGAAACACGGATGTACCCTGAGACCTGACCTGCGGCAAGAATACTGACGAAAGCTGCAGTCGTAGTAGGTGTCCTTAATGCCATCGATCGATTCACAATTAACGTCGATGTTGATAAGGACGCCAACGAGGAGATTGGAGAATGAAGAAATTAGCAGAGACATAACTTACCAAACTCTCGCTTTATGAGGGTAATCTCTGGTCGGTACGATGCGCGATGGGTACAGCATATGTGAAACGCTTCAAACAATGGGTTGAGGAATATAATAATTTAGGCTGTCCGCGAATCTGAGCTGAAGAGTCTTGCTAACACGAAACGGCAAAGCGACTTGGCAGTTAAGTTAATGCTCTCTTGATCGGTGCATGCTCCATTTATATTCTCAACAATATGAAGATCTTAGAATGACGAGGAACATAGGAACGCGAACGGTCGTGAAAAGGAGTTTTACAATTTCATGATCTTGTGAAACTATGAGAAGAATACCAATAATTACAATTGTGACGTGCATACTGTAGGCAATTCATTGCTTTAGGCCGATTTCTTGTGCGAAAAGCAAGATTATTGAAATTCCTGAAGACCTGATGAGACTTTCCACGGACGGTTTTGAGAAGAAGAGTAAGGTGGCTGAATAATGAATTCTTCGCATCGAGACTTGTGT